AGAGAGCGATAGCTCGCTCGCTCTCTCTCACTCTCACACACACACAGAGACACACACACGCTCACACAGATACAGATATAGTCACTTACTTATACATACACACACATACATACTCACTCACACAAGCTCTAGAGATAGATATAGCTCTGTAGATGGAGAGATATATATATATATATATATATATATATATATATATATATATATATATATATATATATATATATATATATATATATATATATATATATATATATATATATATATATATAAATTTGCACTGAACTCATTGTCCCACAGGATCCAGCCATGTCTGGCATGCTTGAAAATTTGACGAACCCAGCTAATAAAGACCAACTTGAAGAACGAATGACACGTGTCAAAGAAGATCCGTCTTTGAAGCCTATTTTGGATGAGATTGAGAATGGTGGTCCTGCTGCTATGATGAGGTCTCTTTTTTCCACCCTCGTTTTCTCTGTTAATTTGAAATAATTACAAGAATGGTGACTTTTCTTAGTTTATGAGATAGTGAGATGCGTGTCATAGTAGCTGTCACGTAGTCGCGCGTGGAATCATGAATCTTTGGTTACCGTTAAGATGCTATATTCTTCTTAATGACATAGAATAACGATCAAATTCAAAAACGATTATGCATACTTGTTTGACTTTCTCGACTCATTTAATAGAGTTCTTGTGCGAACGTTAGGAAACTCATTAAATACATCGCCATTCCTCCTCAACTGCAAATGTATGCTGCAAGTGTGGACGTGTAAGAAGATTCATAGTTGAGGGGTAGTTGTAATTACCCAAACATGAGGGGTTTTTTTTTTTTTTCGTAATTTGACCTTACCTCGGGGGGTGGCTGTAATTTACCCCTAAAACAAATAAAATTGTAGACTGTTGCTCTGTAATTTCCGGATTTAGGTTAAAACTTAATAAGGGTCCTTGACCAGCATTTCGTACATATTTCTTGTTAGTGATTTTGCCGTAAGTGACAAATTTTATTTACGATCAGGTACTGGAATGATAAAGAGGTTCTCCAGAAATTGGGTGAAGCAATGGGATTTTCTGTGGGAGAAAGTGCCGCATCCGCTGGCGACGGTGCCGATGAAGACGAAACAGAGGAAGTAAACGATGAGGAATCTATTGTTCACCACTCCGCTAGTGTTGGTGATGTGGAGGTACGTCTCAAATAGGAAATTACGCAACAGGAATTTAGTAATTTCGTAAATGTATTCGTGAAATTATATCCTTTATTTCACTTACCAAATTTTGCAATTTGCTGAAATTAGTGTAGTAAAAGTTTTTCAGCTATCGAACAACTCAGATTCTCGTGTATTAATAATTGCCGTATTAATAATTGCCTTCTCTTTTTTTAATAAAATATTTAGGGCTTGAAGAGTGCTTTAGCTGATGGTGCTGATAAAGACGAGGAAGATTCTGAGGGAAGAACCGCATTGCATTTTGCATGTGGATATGGCGAGGTATTGTATATTTAAAAGAGAGTACATTACAACTGCCCCCTGAGTTAAGGTCTATTTACGAAACCCCCTTCATTTTTCCATAATTACATTCACCCTACTGCAATTTGTAGATTTCTTACATTAACACCCTTTTATAGGGGTTGGATATAAGAAATTTACAAATTGTAGGGCATGGAAATGTAATTTCTAAAAAAATAAGGGTTTTTTTTGTAAGTACACTTTACCTCAGGGATGTGGTTGTAATTTGCCAAAAAAAAAGAATGAGCTTTCATGACATTTTTACTTAAATGTGACTCAACCTCTCAGCAACTATATCGGCTTTTCTCAAAGTTTCAAAAATCACCCCCATATGGAATGACTAATGAGAGACAGCTTTCTGATGTTTCATCTCTTCTTCCGTTTTGTTTCCTTAGGCCTTGTTTGGTTGGAAAGAACCATAGCTTTATTTAATTGAAAATTTGTATATTGGACAACTGTAATCCAACCGTAATCCTATCTTATTAATTGCTATTTACATCACACTTTATTCCATTACAGATTAAGTGTGCCCAAATTCTTCTAGAAGCTGGTGCCAAAGTAGACACCTTGGATAAGAACAAGAACACTCCCCTTCACTACGCCGCTGGCTACGGCAGGAAGGACTGTGTCGAGCTTCTATTGAAGAACGGTGCTGCTGTGTAAGCCCTCCTCCCGTTTTTTTTTTTTTTTTTTTGTTAATTAATAAATATTATTATTAATTTTAATCCCGAGTCTTTTTTTCGTATATTATGCAGCACTCTTCAGAACTTGGACGGGAAGACACCAATTGAGGTCGCGAAGCTAAACAACCAAGACGAGGTGCTATCCTTGCTCGAGAAGGATGCATTTCTGTAAAATCGTAATGCGTTTGAAATTCTTCTACGAGAAAATTTGTGGCATCATGTTTCTTACG